AAAAAATTTTCACCTGAAAGCATTAGAGCTATTGTTCGAAACCCAAATATTGACTTACATTCAATTGGAATATATTCAAAATCCGATATACAACATCACATTAGAACACAACAATTCCAAGAATTATTAACACAAATGGACACGATACAAAGACAATCAATTGACCAAAACTTACGCAAACTTGCCGAAACAGCAGGATTTGCAGATATTTATACACAAGACTATAGCGGATATTTTAAAGACATTAAAGACTATATATATCTAAACGCTGAAAAATACCGACCAAAAGATATTTCACCTATAAATATTTTTAGCTTTGTTACACTAAAAAATGAAATTCTCGATTTTCTAGGATGGCCCTACTACATCTTAGAAAAATTGACTATTTTATACGCAATGTTTAACTTTATAGGATTTCTTTTTTCGCTTTTAAAATGAATCTATAATACATGCGCTATACACACACAAGTAAATAGACAAGCAAGTGTAGCACGCATACTATTTGCAGGATTTTTTGGAAATTTTTCATCATCAATAAACAAAATTCTTTTAGATGCACAAATAAAGGAATACAACACAAAAATAGAAACAAGACAGAACACATACGACGAAGAACATAACAATGTAGACATTACGCCTACAGCACCACAGTTACCACCACTACCACATAACCATCCATTATCACTAGTCCCACGAAATTTTCGAAATTTAGCAATAACAAATAATCCAAATTTTAGACCAACTATATCACAAAGTCTCATTCAACATATAATGACACACCATTCACTAGATGAAAATACATATGAACAAATCATAGAACAACCCCATACCACCGCTTTTCAGTCTCAAAATAATAATTTTTTTAGCAAACGATGAGCCGACAACTTGGATCCCTACACCGCTCAAATTCACACCCAACCAACCTCAACACTCCAATTACAATAATTCCACTTTTTGCTTTCCCACCACCCGATTTCCCAACCAATAATATAACATCAGGCATGAATTCAGACACTAATTCACACATCTCAGTTTTATACTCCATCTCACAACTCAATAACCCAGATATTGAAACCCCTGACGAATTTGCCGACTCTGAACCATCTCCATCCAATAATTCTCAAACCAATCCCTCAGTTTTTTCAAAACCCCCTTTTCAACCAATCCCACCAAATAACCCACTCCCATCCCTTTCTACACCATCCTATGCTTCACAAGTTACCCCAACCTACTCCTCATTTCATTCAGACCGATCATCCAATTCTCCAGATACTCCCCAAATCTCCCAGGAACTAGATAATTTTATCACCCTACAACAACAACCCTTCCACCTTGACACCTCAACTATAAACCAGATTTCATCAACCATAGGATCATCAAATCCACCTACCCCTACACCCTCTTCAGCTTATACCGCATCACTAGCACCATCATCCACATCCACCGAATCATCAATTAGCACTAATAGAGCTTACCGCACTTTCAAAAGAAAGTTCCCAAACCATCCATTTCCAACAAAACCAGGAACAGCCCGTGAATATATTAATCATCCAAATCACACTAACACGAAAGAATTTTTAGCAATCACCTTACCTTCATTTCCACAATATACTTTGAACACCCCTACAGATACTAACGATACACGTAGCTTTGTAGATGAACAAGTTTTAATGCCTACACTTCATTGGACAGCATATTATCATTTTACTAACCCCCTTTGCCTACCTTTATCTAATACTCACATCGATATAGAACGAAATCAAGATATGCTATATCGACTCACTACACCACTAACACATAGACAATTTACTTACATCGGATATAAAAAATCACTGCACCCCGAGCTAACGAATATACGCTAGAATATTACGATCATAACATCATCCGAACTAACCAAGACCAATTTTTAGATGATGATCGCTTCGCTAACCCACAAATCACAGAAAAATTTTTCATCAAAACACCATATGTTTTTACACTCAATATATTTGATCGCAAATTCGACCACATCATTTCTGAAGCACTAACCGACACACAAGCTTACGAAAGTTTTAAAGAAAGATTTCAATTATTTTCACTAACCTTTCATTTCCTTGCACCACATGAACGAGATTTGCACTGCTCACATGACATTATGTTACGCACTAAACAAACCCACACATATACATATTACCGCTTTATACAAAATCACTTTGACCTACACACTCCATCAAGACAACCACACCATCGTTTTCAATTTATTAACTCTAAATACACATCACCATTTTTTCTTAACTTCTGATATTGCATCAAAGATACTAACCTTCACGGTATTCTTCGCAATTATGATCCCATAACCCAAATGTATATTTTTTGTCCCATCACAAAGACCTTCAACGCAGAAGAATCCAGACCCTTCCTTATCCCACATGAATTTGTTCAACCTATAGAAATCCCCATATTAGAATTCATCCACAACACTAAATATAACCACAAATTATATAACCTCATCCAAAACACACCTTATGATTTTGCAGTTGGCACTGAAGAACTAAAAACCATTAAAGCACTTCAATTGCTTTGGCCACTGCTTCAAACTAAAAACATCATTCGCATACTAGCAAAGTTACTAACAAATTCCGACATAATCCACGACATCTTCCCCACGGTTTTTTCCCCAACGACTAACAGGTAAGTATAATTTATACATATACTAATAAATTTAAAAATAAAACACTAACCATTCTTTATCCATGTTTTATTTAGATTTTTAGTCTTCATCTCACGATCATCTGCAAAATACACAAAAAAAAAATAAAAAATAGAAAACTTCCTCAAATTGTTCCGAACTCTAATAATCTTTTGCACCAGCTAAATTAAATAAAATTCATACAAATGTAATAAATTAATTTATAAATTATTTCCCTAAAAGCAGTAATTCTAATACTGATGAAAATTTGTAACTTAATTTTTCCCCAAAACAAACAATAAAATTGAAATTCTATGTAGTAAATTAATAAAACGCAAATGCAGTACTAACCTTTTGATATTTTCATTCACTCGCACAAGAATTCTATCCAAACTCGCACAGCTCGCCCACGAAGAATTGTTTAAATAATGAATTTCAGTTTCAAGCTTTCACACTCAATAACTCTAACACACGATAACAACTTTCAAACTTTCCTTTAACCCGGTTGGAAAGCAATTATATACTAAACAAAACTAACCAATGCAGCTTACTAAACACCACAACACATAGAATAACAGCATGACTAAGAAAAGGAAACCAACGGTACCCAAACCGGATTAACCCAGTTTAAAACTGGATAATTTATTCTTTTGAAGACTATTATAAAGTCTAAGAAAGAAATAATAAAACACAAAAAAGTCGAAAGACAAACCCATACCAAAAACAATTTGATTTTTGAAAAAAGGACACAACCAACGAAACATAAGAAAAACCACAATAAACCCAACATAAAACGTTATCACATAACAGGACCTCTCACAGAAACCGCACGAAATCATACTCCCACTCCTGGCCTAACCCACCAGAGAGGACGTCCTGAGCATGCTCTATAGCCGGCCTAACCCACCGCGCTACATCCACGCTTTGTGACCACACTCCTATTTTTAATAAGAGGTACTCAAGGGTGAGTAACTCTTCAAAATAACCGAACTAAAACAAAAAGCTTTTGTGAAAACAACTAACCAAAATCATAATTAAAACACCAAACTAATAAAAATTTTATAAAATGTAAATTATATCTTGCAGTATATAGATCAGCATACAACACCAAAGACGAACATCCAAAGACAAAATGACCCCACTACACTCGAAAAAGAATGGCCAACCACAATCAATATGCCGCCCACAATCACAACTCAAAGGATTTAGAGTACGACTTGACTTCGCAGAAAAGGACTTCATTGAACTAGAACAATGACCACCTCGATGTTCAAGTATACGTACAGATCCGAGTAACCAGGCATCCCCTCCACGCACAATCTCCACGCCATTCCCAGACAAGGTCAAACACAAAGAAGTTCTCTACATGAAACGAAAAAACCTGTCATAGCCAACCATTCTGAAATCAGATTTGAGTTTGTTGTGAAAACCCAGTCGTTGTCATGAGAAGACACAACGATTGAATCTGGAACTTCTCTAACAAGAGAACCCAGACGAAATATGATGTTCGCCAAGTACCAACGTCCATCATCCATCTTTTGAATTGCAGAAAGACTATTCTAAAAAACTCTGTAAAACCCGGATGGGTGGAACCTGATCTAAACTACATTTTATGATTGGATAAATTAGATATTTTACCACTGTAAAGTATTTAAAATTAACCAATCATGATCCATCTAACTAACAACCCACTTATTTGTAAGTGCTGGAATTACTTGTAATTTCAGCACCAGAGAGATTTGAATTTAACTTAGAAATTAGTTGACTCTCCAAGAAGACTTCAGCAGCCGCAATAAACCAGTATACCCTAGATCTATTGAGCCTAGCAGAGACTAGTTAAACACCCTGAGACTAGATAGTATAAGAGTAAGATTAGGATCGGTATTAGACTAAGAAGTTGCACGAATCTATCCGGCCGAAAATAAGATAGCGTGACGAGCAGACGGTGTACCCTATCCGAAATTACTCTATGAGTTAACCACCTCGGTTATAACTCACCATTTCGACCAAATTTTTGAAAAAACAGGCCAAAAAGACGTTTTTAGGCAATTTTTGGAAAATTTTTACCAAAAAATTGCCTTTTTTTTGGCGCGCGCTCCCTCTTCAAAATTAGTAAATATTGGCGCCAAAGGCGCCTTGAGGAAAACTTTAGGACCGATCACCAAAAATGTATATCTCAAAATAGTACAAAGGGGGGACCCTTTGGGTCGGCAGGGGTCAAATCCCTGAAAGAGGGCGTCCGATACCCCCGTCCCTAAATCCGCTGGTGCTTGCAGTTGCTGTTAGATTTTTCTTAACATCATTTTTCAGCTAAACATAAAGGACAACTTACAAACTGGTGTCCAAATCCATCGTCCACGTTCCGCCCCTGGTTGCCAACCGGACCTCCGAACCCCCCATCCTGCTGGTCCAACCACAATCCCTTCTGCTGCACTTTACCTCCTGGGCGTGCCAAAAGTGCATCAGAATTACCGGGTCGACCCCTTGGCAACGTCGAATATATACCAGCTCCACGCCACGCTTTGCTACCAGGGTTCCCGTATTGTATCGGGTCATCATTTTGACTAACTTGGATTCGACTCCGGTTCAGATCTTGATTGTAAGACGCGCTTAAATTATTACGTAACTGGTTGCTCATTTGACCTTGAGTTCCTCCCCACTGATCATGTTGTGATGACGTCATAATCAAAGATGACCCTTGTTGACCTTGAACTTGACCTTTGATAAACTGCATGTTGTGAAAGTCGTATTCTTTTTTAACTCGTTGGTTATTTGGGCCGTTTGAGGAATAGACACTCATTTGAGCAGTTCGATCTGCTTTTGACATGATCGATTTAGCTTGCGCCTGAGGACACACTAGTATGTCAACGTCGCCAGTTGTTTTCGACTGAATTATATTTTGAACTTCCTCATAAGTTTTGCCCACTAAAGAGTTCCCGTTCCACTCAATAACAACGTCACCTTCTTGCAATTGTGGGTTCAAAATTTCCGCAACTTTTCCCGGGAAAATTTTCTGGATCATTGCCACTTTGGTGTTACTGGTTTCTGGTATAATTTTACCCCCGACTATGCTCAAACCTAATCCGTTGCTTCGCCCACTTCGGTCTTTTGGGTCTTGGCTCAGCCTGAAGGATTTCAAAGGTAGTTGGGAGAAATTGATCGAGCCCGGATCACGCGTCGGAAACTCTTGCATCACAAGTCCACGGTTGCTTATCACATTTTGACCATCTTGTCTAAAATGGTCTACTTGTCGCTTGAAATGACCGTCGTTCAAATCTTCGATCGATAGCTGACTTGGTTTTATAAGCGCTCTTTCCAAGAAATCCGGGGGTTGGCTGGGACGCGATAGATCAGTCATACTTCGGACTGCTTTTTCTTGGCCCCCTAAGTTGAAAAAATTATCACCCAGGGAGGTAAATTGGGGGTCATTATTCCCCCCAAAATGACCTGTTAACCTTTGGCCGGATCTAGCTCCACTTAAAACTTGGTTGTCGTAGAATTGTGGGTGGTTCGAGTATTCGTTAACTGCGGCTCGGGACAGTGTTGCGTATGGGTTATTGTTCATAGAATTTATCAAGCTTTGTTGCTGTTGCTGTTGTTGACTTGAACTTTGTTGTCCCTGTTGTTGATTCTGTTCTAAGGGTCTTATGATCCCACCCGAGTTCGGGTTCAAGTTTGATTTGTTGTGGGGAAGCGACAGGGTCTTTGAGTTGTAACTGTGTCCAAAATCTGGCGTTTCTTTTTTGCCCAAACTGAATGCCTGCTGTTGATGTTGCTGTAAAGGCGTCAAAGCTAAATTGGGTTGGGCGCCCGTTTTCGGCAAAGCGCCAGTTCCGTCGAAAATGCCACCTTGATTCACCCCTAAGAACGGCTGATTAGTCATTACAGGGGGTTGCAAAATAATAGCCTGGGGATCTTGAACTTGCATTTGTCCAGGAGCTGTTATAGCACTTTGGACTGGATTTTGGGTCTGAAATTGCTGTTGGTTTGTTTGGTGCTGCAGCAATTGTAATTGCTGCTGCGTTTGGGCAATTTGTTGTTGTTGTTGAAAAATTTGGGCTTGCATGTGCTGAGTTTGAGCCGACTGTTGGATTATAGGTTCAATTGTGCTTTGTAGTTGATTAAAAGCTGATGAATATGTCGGGCTAGTTACCAAAGTCGTCATTTGGTTAGGGGAACTTATAACCGAACCCGAATCGTTAATTTCTTCAACTATCACGCTTGGTAGGGCATTTAAATCTCGAACTGGGTAGGGGTCGTACAAACTTGCCATGTTATTGTTCGTAATGAACAAATTAGGATCCACCAGATTTGATTGGTTATAATCCATGCCATTCGATGGCCCATTATTGTTGGTCGAAAAAGTCTGAGCCAGCCTATTGGCGCTGAGATTACGTAACAACGTCGATGATTGGTCAAGTTGCTGCCAACGCTGATCAATCGACTTTTTCAGCTCGTTTATCGAGGCGTTTCCAGTTAGACCTAGGGTTGCAGGGGAAGGTTGAGGGGGGTTCGGGGGTCCGACTAAACCCGTATTAGCATCGACAGCAGACCTGTACAGTTCAACCCTATAGAGGTCGTCAAGTTGTTGCTGCAACGAAGCTATCAGCTCAAGTTTGGAGTCCCGTTTTATAGTAGCCGGGTCTTGAGGTGTCAGGTTTCGAAGCCCGTAAGGATCGTTTTCATAAATCGGTTGCATTCTTGCCAAACTTTGCTCGTTTTGGTTTAGTAGCAGCGCTCTGTTGTACAAATTGTTCGCATCCTGATTCGAGTTCGGAATGTATAGTCCTGGAACGAAGCCGTTCGTTTCGGCCATCCGGTTTCTTCGCATTGCGTCGAACTCCGCGTCCGCATTCCGTCCACCCATCGTGTAGTTTTGTCCAGGCGACAACATGTATCTATCTCGCGTCGACAAGTAAGTCGCAGTAGTACTCGGATCAATGAAAAGTCGAGTGGTTGTCGGAACATTCAGTGCCGCGTTCGAATGAAACAGCCGATCGCCGAGACCCGCGGGTAGAATCAAGTCGCCGACTGCAGCCGGAGCGTAAGTGGGAAGTTGAGTCATGGGTGCTGTGGGTAGAATTAAAGTGGGAGGTGTAGGGGGAATCATTGAAACTCCGGTCGCGAATCCTGGCGTCACAATGACTTGATCGGGTTGTCCCTGATGGCCTTGGAACCTCATAGTGCCATCCAGAGACGGAACAGGCGACGGTGCCACCATTTGGTGCGACTGCGGAACGACTGCCGGACTCAACCTCTGGTTCATCATTTTGGGTTTTACAGCCTGCGAGGCAACCCATACTAGACCTCGACCTTTTGGGTAGGCATATTTCTCTAAATCAGTTGTTTTTTGAGTCGTGATGCTCGTCAGAGCTCGCCGTGCTTCCGTGAGTTGCCGACGCTGTAAGTCATCAACCAGAAACTTCATTTCTTGATGAACTTTCTTCTTCTGTTGGTTCACAATTGGGTTTGGCTCTTCTATATGAACGGTTAAATCCATCACATTCGGCGACCAGTTTCGACCGTTTTTTAATCCCCGAGATCCAACCGGAAGTGTCAAATGGGATCCCGAGGATGTTTGCAACCCGGAGACATTCCTCTGGAAACTCGGGTCTGGGCTTCGTCTGGGAGATCCGAGTCTAGTTTGGGTTCTGATTTCTTTCGATCCCGGCCCAGAAACCCCCGATGTGATTCCGGAATGGAACTCGAAGTTCTCGCGCTTGCAGTTCTCGAGGTATCCAATTTTGCTCTTGAGTTGCCGCATAAGATCGTCGTCAACTTCTTGTGAAGAATCGAGATGTGAACTTCTTGAGTAGGATGATTCGCTCTGCAAACAGAAAAAGTGCCTGTTTTGGATTAATTTAACATCCTCCCCTAACGAGACCAAGTTAATATCTTCCTTCACAGCATTGAAATTGGGATGAAACGGCTCAACGCTGCGGGTAAAATGATCGATCTGATTGCTGGAAATTAGAGGTCTGAGCCAAGTTAACATAACAAAATCCGCAGCATCCTAGGGGGAATAAGTTTTGGTCCCATGATTTTTATGTTGATATGTTCACATGGCTTGCACTGTTAGGGTTTAATTCTTTTATTTTCTGGGGTCTTTTTCGTTATACCCCCCTTCTAAATGTTAAAAAATGATGTTATTTCTTACAAAATTGGACTAACTTTACCAAAAATGCAGGGCTGATATCCCGAGCGTAATATCATGCTAGAAAATGGCAAAAAGTGCGGGATCTACTTAACAATTGCCCAAGAAGGGGTGGCAATTGTTAAGAAGGTTAAGTTGGCGAATTTTTGACCAATTACGTTGCAGCAAATTTCAATTTTTAAATACAGCAATATAATATTTTTTAGTAGATACCAATGGGAGGGCGATTGCTAAATAGATCCAAAGTGCGAATTTAGCGACAATGAAAAACGCAGTTGGCAACCTTTAATGAAAATTAAGCAAAAACTGGCCAAAATTGGGACCAAGTAAACAATCTCTCCCCTAAAATTAAATGGCAATTCAAGACGTAAGGCCCAGGGGCGGATTTATGGGGGGGGGGGACGGACGTTTTTTTTCTCAGGGATTCGACCCCCTGCCGACCCAAAGGGTCCCCCTTTGTACTATTTTGAGATATCCATTTTTGGTGATGGACCCCAAAAATTTTCTAAAGGCGCCTTTGGCGCCAATATATTCTAGTTTTGAGGGGGGAGCGCGCGCCCAAAAAACGCAATTTTTTGGTCAAAATTTTCCAAAAAGTGCCTAAAAACGCCTTTTTCGGCCTATTGTTTCAAAAACTTGCCTGCGGCGCACAAATTTTGGTCAATTTGGGAAACAGTGCTTTGGGAGAGCTCGAAAAATCAATTTGGTTGACCTAAAAAAAAGGTCGAGACAAAATTTTCAAAAATTTTTTTGAAAATCCGAACCCCCCCCCTTCGAGAAAATCCTAGATCCGCCCCTGGTAAGGCCAGCATGTACTATGATCTGATTGGCTGAAAATATTACGGATCTTGTTAACTACCCCCCCCCCCCCCCATATAATAGTTAACAAGATACAAAATTTGTAAATGCTCAACTGTTCAATTCTTTCTTTATAGGTGGGGGGATATGGATATTCGTTACAATATACTATAGTAGTAGTAGTAATTTAAATCCATATAACTAAGACTTGATTCCATATGCGTGGAGTCACATTAAATAAAATTACTAGGACAAATGAAACAATAGGGGGGGGGGGGGGGGGGGGGGTGGTAGTTAACAAGATCCAACATTTTACTTTCAACCTAAGGACGTACAACACCCCCCCCCCCCCCTAAATCGGTTTAGGTGGGAGATAGTTGACTCGGTCCGGCAGTAGCAGAGAAGTCTATCTGCTCGCTGCTTAAAATTATTATTTGGTCTTCAGAAGTTTAGTGATGATAAATGTTTCATGACATCGATTAAGCCCCTCCGACGTCCAGAGAGGCTTTTCAAAAATCAGACTTTATGTTCGACTATGTTCGACTTTTCGACCGTGTGGACATGTTGCGACCGTACTCGACCGAAACTGCTACTTCACAATTAGATATTTTTATTTCCACAGTAACTAACTACACGAAGTTATTTTACATAATATTAATCTTTGTAATCGTACCTCATCCTATTAGATCCAACATTCTGAAGTTTTTTGACTTTGAAAGACTGCGCAGCCATAAAAATTGTGTATTCTTCCGTATTCAATACGCGGTCTGAAATGACTACATTATATATCACTAGGAGAACCTGCTATGCGTTTCAATAGCATGTATGAAATATTCAATTCATATACCAACAGCTAGAATACCTGTTTTCTCATGCTCTTAGTGTGAAATATGTAGAAACGCTCTGTTAGCAGAAATCTTCCAAAATATTACAGCATCTGATTGAAACATCTTCTAAATTGTGTTTTGAATGAATGGCTTTTCAATTTTGACTACCACTTTTATGTAAATGATAGTTGGCTCCCTGAAATATTGTTTAGCTATATTTTACATGCTTACTTCTGCTTTGTTTTCTGGCTTTTTTAATTCGTAAGCTTTCGTAGGACTCATTTTCCATACTTGATTTTTTAGGCTTTTAAAAAACCTAAAATTTTGTTGTCTCTCTTTTTTTAAATTGACCGAATTGATTTTTCGAGCTCTCCAAATTCAGAAAAAGATCCTTGGATCTCTTGAACTAATTTGCAAGGGGGGCGGGGGAGATGCTTTACTAGGTACCCCAGAGGCGAAGTAGTTAAAAAGATCCTCTTCACCAAAAAAAAAAACCTGCAAGCTAACTTTTTGAAACAACAACTTGGCCAAAAATGTCATTTTGGGCACTTTTCACAAGGCTTTGAACGAAAAATCATTTTTTCGGCGCGCGCCTCCCTCAAAATTGACTATATATTGGCGTCCAAAGCGACTTAAGATAAATTTTACTACTTTAGGCCAAAAACGGATTTCGTAAGGAAGCATTGAAGGGAAGACCCGACCCGCCTTTGAGTAGCGAGTGGTTCGAATCCCAGAGGGAAGGAAATGGACCCCCAAATCCACCGCTGCCCACTTTTAATATTTCTTTTCCATTTTGCGGTATAGAGGGCGTTCACATGGGCCCTAGGAAGAGCCTCACCAAACCCCATTGTTTTTTTTGTTGCAATCCACATACTTCAGAATTTCGTTACATTCAATCATACGTTCCAGCAAACTTTTTTCGAGGTTTTTGAAAATTTTCAAATTTTGCCAGATAATTTTTCTCAAATAATTATTTAAAAAAAAAGATCCACTTCACAGTCGGTGCTACGTAAAAAAGCTCGTTCGAGCGCTTGTTAGAAATTTATGACAAAACAATCATTCGTTTTTTGTCCCACAGATAATTTTTATACACCAATTTTATCAAAAAAACAATAAAATTAAACATAAAAAATAGACAGTTGGAAAACTGTCAATGACCGCAAAAAACGGAACAAAACACTGGCTTTTATTTTGTTTTACTTAACTAATTTTTGCTTTTAAAAAAGTCAAGCCCTCAAAACTTTTTGAGTATCAAGAAAAAACTATAAATGACATTTTTGATAAAACTAACCCAGTTTGAGAAAACTGGATCAGTAGATGAAAAGTTTTTTCCGCTGTCAAAATCTGAGAAAAAAACCCTTCTTGAAAACTGAAGTCATTCATACTTTTATGGCATGAATTCCGCTTTCAAAATTGGAGTGCGCAATTTGCCTTTTTACCTTGACTTTGAAAAAAAAACGAGAAAAAAACCATCCACGCCCTATCTACACTTCATACTTAAATTATCTAGACAAATTGAATGAAACTTGAAATTTAGATCATATTTTTCTCAAATTGGGTTGATGTTAGACAAAAACGATGAAGAAAAATTTTCCGTAAAATTTTACCAGAATTGATATGGTGCCAATTTGTTTAACAAATTCGTTTTGCCAGTTCGTTTTGCACCATTTTTGGCTTTGTTTAGTCAATCAGAAAAAGTTTCAAACTTTTTAATTGATTTACTAACAAAACTATATCACTGCAAGCCTTTTTGCAGCCCACTAAACATTAAGAAAAATATAATCTTCAAAAGTGGACGCAAAAGATTTGAAAAAGTTTTTGTTTAAAAAAAAGATATTTTATATAGTAAAAATGACATTTTTTGCCTATCAAACGAAAATAATTATGTTCATAAGAAAACTGAGAAAAATTTTACCTTTAAATTCTGGTGGACTACATAAAATGGTTGCAGTGATATAGTTTCGTCAGCAAAAAAAAAAACAAATAGGTTTGGAGGATTTTTTATCGACTAAACAAAGCCATAAAGGATTGTTATTGTTGTAAAGTTTAGGTCCCGAATTTTGCAAAACCAGTTGCATCATATCAAATCTGTTAAAATTTTATGCAAGATTGGTATTCATCATTTTTTGTCTAAAATCACCCCAATTTGAGAAAAACGAGTTTTATATTTCAAGTTTTATTCATTTCGATCGGATAATTCAAATCAGCACTGTATGCATCTTCACTAAGTTCCATGGCACTTAAAAAGAACTTTAAAAAAATCCGGACCCGCTCAATTGCAATCTTTATTGGTCCGAGAAAATGATTCAGTGATTTCTATCACAACTTTTCTGGCTTTTTCACCGAAAAAGGTTTTGATAATTTTTTGACAGGCTGAAATTAAGATAATACATTTCGAGCAATTTCGAACCTTTTGATAACACTACAAAAAAAGGTGCTAATTGTGTGTTCTATGCTTAAAAACATGTTCTTTTATTCTGAACAAATAAATTAGTTTATTTCCACGCAAAAATTTATAATTCTGAAAAAAGGGAACTATAACCTCGACACGAGTTTTGCTGGAAAGATATCGTTAAAAATTATGCTTTTTTATTGTAAAGTGTTTTGATACCATACGATTTTTAGGTAATTTTGCGTCTAATTACAGGTTAATTAGGTTCAAAGCAAAAATGAAAATGTTGGCGATTGGCGTACCCATTTGTTTGGTTCAAATTTAAATTTAGTTTTTTATTTGAAAGTCAAAGCCCTCATTCAATTTTTCCCTTAGGCAATTAACCAACCCAATGGTTTAGATTGCAAAACGCTAGCATTTCTAATTTGGATTACTATTTGAGCAGATACTTTACACATATACGTAGGAGCATATGTTTTGATTGCAAAAGAAACTATCTCTAGGCAGTGCAAAAAGGAATGTTGTGATTGCAAACCTCCTTTGGGCAAGGAAAAGTGACAGCGAAACTTTTCAAAATCAACAGACCCGTTAGAGATTACCTCCGACAGGAAAAACTAAAAAAAGTGACTTGCAAAAAGTATCTGCAAAGAATTTGCAGAAAACCAGAACAAAACTAAAAGAAAAATTAGCAGATTTGAAATGAAAATTTGGAAGTTCGCATATTTTTGACATTTCTCATTTGAAGATTCAAATTTTTATAATTACTTTATAATCGTTATATTCTATCACGTTTTATTTCAAGTTGGAGTGGTAAGGAAACACAAGTATACGTTGATTTAAAGTATGTTTCTTTTATTGTTTTATCAGAACGTTCCTTTGAATTTTCTGAACCGACAAACTTTTTAAAAATACTATTTTTTCCTCCGTTTTTTTTATTATCCTCTGAATTTAAAAAATGGGCTGTAAAGTCCGTTGGCGCTGAGACAACTTTGAGTGACAAGCCGTAATAACGTATCCAAATATCGTGATCGCAGTTAGAATAAAATTTTGAGAAAATTGTGGAGTGATTCGGCCTCGAATCGAAAACCGGCGCGTTTTCAGAATCAGTAAATGACACAAGGCAAATTGAACTATGATAACTTTTTTTATTACAACCAAAGGCGGATATAGTACATTCTTGGATTTGTTTTTAGATTTATTTTGTGAATTACATTAAGTGGATTTATTTTTTTCGAAAGTTTTACCTGCCTTTTGACTTGAAATTTAAAAGTGAATTTCGAAGACTTGAATATTTCTCCGACCTCTTCCAAAAAGCTAGAAAAAACCAAAAAATTGCCACAAAAACACAAAGGGCAATTTAATCGAAAAAAATTCGTACCGTTCGTACCTCATTCTTGAAGGGGTCATATTTCGACAAGTCGTTTTTAAGTCTGTTTCCAGCACTCTTCCTCAAACCAGAATGCTGCTCCAAAAACACATCCGTATCATCATACTCCCACGTTTTCCTCCCTTGTTCCAAAGCCGCTCTAACATCGCGTGAAATCTCGAAGTCATTTCCGTCGGCTTGCACAGACGTTGACGTCATTCTGCGTCCTTTTGGCTCTGAGGTGCCATTTCTGGACTGATTCTCTTTCTTAAGTATTGATTGCAAAGGCGGTTGGCCAGTTGACGAACTAGCAGAATGACTCGATGACGAAGACGTGTATTTTTTGTCTTTTGAAGATGGAGTTAACAGTCTCTTTCGTAGAATATCAACCTCGTCATTTCGCAGCGGCCGCGCTTTGACTCGGGTTCCGAATCGATTCGAGTTTTCTTCTTCCTCTACTTCTTCTGGGTCAGGTTGGGGGAGAACCCTTTTAACACCGCCGCTTTTTCGGGCTTTGTCAACCCCTGAAATCGACGACGAAGTAGGTCGAGTCGGCGATAAAATTGAAATGGGCGACAAGTCTTTCTCGGTTTTACTCGTGGAAGCGTCTTTGTAATGCTTTTTAGTAGAAGTTGCTCCGAGCTCAATGGAGTTTTCGGTTGCGTCATCGCTCGAGTTAGAATTAATTAAAACTCGCTCAACGTTTACAGCTAGAGAACGCGAACCCATTTCGGAATCTTCTTCTGTTTCGGGTAAGCTCCAAGTTCGTTTCTCCAAGAATTTGACCCTTTTTTCTTTGACAGGTTGGCCTCCAGAAGCGCTTGTATCGGTACCAACACTTGTACTTTGAAGTGTTTCGGAACCTCGAGTCGTTTTAGAACCCGAGTCTTTATAAGTCAAAAACGAAACAGCTGTGCCCGATTGTTCAGCGCCTGTTTGAGTTGAAATTGTACATTTATAGTTTGGTGACCTTGATTTGACCGCTGAAGGTTGCTGTTGACGCGAGGTCAAATCACTCGTGTCAGCCCCAGTTGATCTTTGAGCAAATTTAGGGTCTAGTTTTTTGCTAGCTGTCACAGATTCAACAGGTGTTTGACCTATTTCAAGTCTACTGGCTAATGATTGCGAGTAAGAGCTTTTCCCCACGTGATAATGCTCCGAGATCATATCCTTCGCCAATCGATAATAAAGCGAAGTTTGGCCGCTCGTGGTAATAGGAGGCGGGGGAGGCGGTGCAGTCGGAACTTTCGGGACACTCGACGAAGTATTGCTATGTATTGCACTAGAAATTGGTGATGTTTTCAAAGCGCTTTTCGGCATAGTTTGCGTTGAAGCTTGCACACCTCTGCCTTGAATTGTAGAACTAGCTTGAGCAATTTTTGGGGCTTCCACTGTAATTATTTGATTAGACCGCGCTTGCTGCTGGACGCTTGGGAAACTTTGGTTATTTTTAGGATGATTTTGAGACTTTTTATCAGTGCTTTTTGAAACGCTTGCGTGTTTTTGGCCAATTTCAGCTTTTCTTTCTTCTAATTTTTGTAGCATTTCAGAACGCGTTTGACGTTTGGGAATCTCAATTACTTTCTTCTTGTTCCGACTCATTCCAAAGTCGCTGAGTTCTTCCTCTTCGGAACTTTCGATCAAGGTGCATAGAGGTGTTCTGGGATGTCTTCCCGCTTTTGCAAGCGCGGCTGAAATCTCTTGCTCTTGTTGATATTGCACGAAATTGTTGCTATCAGGGTCCAACATTTCTTCTTCATTCTCAAAATTCGCGGATTGAGAATTCTCATCAAATTCCTCTAGGCTGTTTTCAGATCCTGAAGATTTCTTGTTTTTCTCTTTAGCTGTGCTTAGGTTAGTGAAAGTGTTGTAGCGATCCATCGAACCTTCTTCGATAAGTTCAACATCCGAACCTTCATCTGAACTATAATGATCTTGATAATTCATCGAATCCATTATGTCTTGAGAATAGCTCTCGCTTCCATCGTGAATCATTGGGTACATGATTTCAGTGTTCTCGTAAATCGGCTCGTTACTGGCAACACTTGAAGAATGAGTTTTGGAACTCGGCTCCTGGCGTTCCGAGATGACCCCGGGTGGTATGTCGAATGCGCTTTGTTCAAACAATTTACTACTACTACTATTGCTGATGTTATTGTTACTAGTACTAACTGAACTGGTTAATGACTGCTCATTTGTAAAATTAGAACCCGCTCGTTTTTCGACGACATTTTCATAATCATTTTGCGAATTCCCAATATCGTGTTTTTGGTAAATGGGCTCAAGTTGTTCAACCCAGTTTCCGTACTGGTCGTAATAGCCCGAGTTATAACGCTCGTAATCATAATATTGCACGTTATCGTCGTAATTTCCGTAGTCGTAATAAGAATACTCGTTTTGAGCAGAGTCTGCGCTTTGGTTGTCGTAGTATACAACCGGGTGCTGTGATTGGCCAGACGAATCAGAGCTACTCTTCGCTGACCAATCAGATTGCGCAAAATTTTGAAACGATGAGCTTACTCCTTGATTTTGTTCTTGTTGAGTCTTTTTCTGGATATCTTTGGGCAACGGCGGCATTATCCGATTCGGAGATTTTTCACGCGCCGTTTTTTTAGATTCCGCATCACGACTATCGGTAGTTAATCTGGTGTCGCTAGTTTCAAAACTGCCATTTATCGAAGTTTCCTGCATTTGGCTCGAAGGCTCGTTTTGTTTCGGCTTCCAAGACGACGACGAACTCCACTTGATTGTGTGTTCGGTGTTTTTGTTCTGAGAACTCAAGTCGGAACTAGCTTCACTCTGATTGGTTGAAATTGTCTCGGTGTCCCAGCTTAGTTGGGCGAGGTACTGGTTCGGATCAAAATCGTCGAAAGAAGTTGAAACTTTCTGCTGAGGCTCTAAAAAGTATACAGAATTTCTGCTGAGGCTCTAAAAAGTATACAGAGGCGAGGCTGCACATCGCAAACACCAGCTAAAAATGAGGAAAAGTAGCTCATAAACTGGCAAAAACGAAAACTCGGGCAGACATTTTTGGAAATATTTTGTCCATGAACTGGTTTGAAAAACCGGAAGCGGTTAAAAGCGCATTTTTTGGCCTCTTAAAAATTCGCCCGAGGGGCAAAAAATTTAGTCCATTTTTTCGTTATCTGAGGTGCAGTTTTTTAAATATATTTGGATGAGAAAGGAGGTTTCAACAGATGATGACAAGTTCATCAGAAAATATCCAGATTAGAACTCATTCCAATTTGTTAAAAGGCCCTTTTTTGCATTGTGTTTTCTAAAAATAGATTTAAACACTATTTTAAGCATAAGATTTACCCCCCATTCTATTGAATTTATCCACATCTGGAACAAATTTATTGGGTTTCGACTTTTATCAATAGAAATTGCTGCTTCTCAGTCTAATTTTTCGGCTTCAAGATTTCACAGTTTGCGGATATTGCCGCTTGTTGCTCAGACCACCCCCTCACACTCCCCCTCCTTAAATGGATGGAAAGGAACTATGCCGTGGGTTGTTTTTTTTCCGATTGCACTGCCTCAAAGAAAGTTCACAGAGGGTCAAGCATGGTATCAAATCAAAACCCTTCTAGTTGTGATTCGGCTTCCGAAAGTTCTCATAGTATCGTGAAAAACTGGTCTGAAAATTTCTTCTTTTTTGAGGCTAAAGATTTCAGATTTTCATTCAAATCTAGTTTTCTGCCCTCTAGCCAATTTGGTCTCCATTCACTAACAAATAAACAACAACAAAAAATCAAAAAACACTCAAGAAAAAATTTTTCAGATTTTTTTCTTGTTTGACTTTTGGAAAAACAATTTGCGCGGCGGAACATTTTGTACTATTTGCATAGAAGCCGGAGATTGTTGTTAAACTTTCCTCGGAAAATGAAAGAAAGTCATACAAATAATTGTCATCTTACCTTTCTTTTCGAGTTTGATTTTGCCGTCGTTTGATTCTGTCGAATTCTGTTTTCTCAATTCTTTCTGACTCTTCTCAAGCTAAAATGATTTCTTTTGGAGACTTTAGTTTAAAATAAAAGCAGAAGCAGAAATTGAATTAATGTAATGACACACTTACATTGAGAAAATCACCATCCAGGAAGAAACTCTAAAAAAGAGCAATAAATTTGAGCCTAAATGATGATTTAACTTGGCGCCCAATTTTTTAGGAATAAAAAGCAATTAATGTGTCTGAAATTTCAGATAAAGGAAACCACGAGACATCATGATAAAATACCGTCGTTAAATTTAGATTTCGTTTAAATAGAAGAGCGGCGTCTAATTTAGGAGCTCCACTTTTAAAGTCATCCTAAAACGTAAGTCTGACTCAATGCTCCGCATTTGCGTATTTCTTCAAAAGCAAAATAAAGAATATAATTTTTTGATTTAATTTCCAATTCACATACAAGATTTTGTCAGCAAGAAATTCTCTTGTTTGCCTGAACTGCAAACTAATTTAATTACAAATATTTTTACAAAAATTATTTCCACCGACCGATAAATTCGCTGCAGACGCCTTCTGATCAAAAGGAGTAGCCATGTCCATGTCCTGTCCCATCAGTCCAGAATTCACATGTTGCTGATTGGCCGATGAAGACGAGGAGTGACCTTGTAAGTTGTTGTTCACGTGGTGACTCATTCTGGGCACGCCTTTGTGGCAATAAAGACAGAGCCACTCTTTGCGCTGAAAAAGCGAAAAATTGTTGAGGCACAAACTCTTTTTCCGTTCTAGTGCTAAAATTATCTCCCGGTGACTGCCGGCAGGTGCACTTCGATAACCACCGATACTCGCCAGGCTATTTCACAAACAGCTTGCAAAGCATGTCTCTGGTTTGTAAAGCATAAAATAAGCCTACCGGAAAAAATTATGCCAATATTTCAATAGATATGACTAAGTCAAACTTGTATAAAAAAGCGTCAATTTTTGGAAGAATTTTTATTCGAGGAACTTCAAAGAGATACAAAATTTTTTGCTTCATGTTTGCCGACTTAGTAACTTTGATAAACACAAATCCATTGTATATACTAATGAAAGTTGAAGTTTTTGTTCGCGTAAATTCATCTAACTTCTTTTTCGACGCTCAATCATACTATTGGTTCCGCCTCTTCATCAATGATGGTTTAGTGTTTCGGAAAATTGAAAAAATTTACTGTTAAAAAAGCGTACCACCTTAGATATGCTTATAAAAGGACAGAGTCGATCAACCTCGATGGTTTTTGTTTAATGCGTTCCAAGAAAATCAATGCAATTAACAAACCAATAGTTGAACGAATTAACATAAGATTTGATTACAGACTAACATGTGTCAAAACTCTTGAAATGAATTTTTTTCCACTGGATTGAAACCTGTTCTTAGAAAAGCGGTTTGGATGTTTGCCGCTGCTTATTTTTTTGAATGGTCCTGCTTGTGAGTGAAGGTTGCCTGGGATGATTAGACACATTGAGAGATATCGACCAGCTAAGTTTAGAACAAAAGTTTACTTGAAGGACGGTAGAAAAAAAATCAATATACGACTAGATTTTAAGCTACAACTCTTCGTGCCCTTAATGTGAGCCCGTTGGCAGTCTTGTTTTAGGTTGCGAGTTAGCAACCGGCAACGAATTAGTTGTGAGCACACCTAGGAAATTGCAAAAAAGTTTCAAATTCTCTTTTTCGATGTTTTCCCTGATGTTTTGTGCTTTTTTTATTAGGTCAACCTTTATTATAGAGACAACAGGGAGGGTATAGAAAAAAATGATGTCAAAACAAAAGAAAAACAGTAAGTTAGAAAAATAGTAACAGCACACAAAAAATTTCTACGAATTTAAATTCTGGAGTTAAACAAAAACAAAAAAATCATAAATAATCATGAGCGAAAGGAATCATTAGGCTCAGAAAAATTAATCAGAATATTTGGCTATAAAATTCAATAAAGGGTTCTAATTAGGTATAAAAAAAGGTTATATAAGTACGATCAGGGGCGAGTATAGGATTTTCAAAAAGAGGGAGGGGGCAAATTTTCAAAAAAATTTCAAAAATTTTGACGACCTTTTTTATTAGGTCGACCAATTTGATTTTCCGAGCTCTCCTAAAGCACTAAAAAGACGCTGTTTCGGCCAAATTTTCTGTGCCGCAGGCAAATTTTTGAAAAAAAAAACAGGTCAAAAAAGCCGTTTTTGGGCACTTGTTGGAAAATTTTGACCAAAAAATCGCGTTTTTTCGGCGCGCGCTCCCCCCTCAAAATTAGTATAGATTGGCGCCATAGGCGCCTTTAAAAAATTTTAGGGTCGGTCGGCCAAAAATGGATATCTTAAAAAGTACCAAAGGGGGACCCTTTGGGTCGGCAGGGGGTCGAACCCCTGAGAAAAGGGCGTCCGCCCCCCGCCCCCCCCCCCCCTTAATCCGCCCCTGAGTAGGATAGACAAAAAGTACAAAAATTAGGCAAACTATCGCGCAATTCGTTTCAAAATTATGCTAAAAAAGCTAAAAAATCCTATTCATTTTTTTAAAAACAACTTTCATTTTCTGATGATTTTTTCATATTTTCTGAAAATAGGAACAAAACAAAAAACAATGTAAATGCAAAAAATTGTGATCAAAAGTAACATGCAAAAAATTATTAATCAAATTAAGAAAATTCAGCAATAGCAGATACTCGACATTTTTAGAAGTCCAAACAAAGTTAAAGAGCAAATAGTTTGGTTGATTGATAGATCAAAAATTTAAAATTGTGCTATTTCTGGCCAAAAACTACATCTGGATTTGAAGGGTAGTCGAAACGTTCAAGGCTTCACATTGAGGAGAGCAGGCTAATTTTTCCTACTTTAGTTGCATGGTTGGTGACTAATTTGCAGCACTGTAGACAGATGAAGTTGGCACAGCTGGCACAGAAGTGTCCGTTGCTGGTCTCCGCACTGTGGTCCAGTCTGGTCTCAGTGCACTGAATGCATAATTTAAAAGTAGACTGCTGGTCCTCGTCACCTGATTGTTGTTGTAGTTGTTGTTGTTGGTTTTGTCCAATTGTTCCGGTCTGATAACTGTAAAAAGAGATAAAAGAAATAACCAAAAAAGTGTTCAACCATAGAGCTGTAAAGAAGAGTTCAAGGTGGCTGTGGGAGGGAATTTCATCAAAAAGAAAACAAAAACTCTGCTGGTCTTTTAAAAAACGTAACGAACAAACTTGAAGCTTAAAAGTTACATTAGTTGATCAAATGAGTTAGGGTCTTAGAAAAGCTAGGGTCGAAATTATTCTTTAATGAAAGTTCACAATTAGCACTTGCAGAAGATTGGAATTCGAATCAGTTATGAACGACACTGCAATAAAATCACCAGAAAATCAAGTAATGTACGCTAGGTGTAGATGCAAATTGTTTTCGTAATTTCAAAACTTAGTTACATAGCATCGACCGACTAGCGTATAGAAATAACGTAGTGAAAAAGATTCGGAGGCTTCATCTAGCCATCAGCTTTATTTTTTAGACCATCCCCTGGCAAACAGAAAAAATAATCTTTTCGATGTTTTTTTCATAAGACTTAAAAGATATAGCGGCACAGAAGCGGCTCTCTTCAAAGATCTGAACTGCTCCTATGCTGGGTCTTCTCGTCGTGAAAAAACAATCTTAACATATATATCATAGAAACCTTTTAAATAATGTGGCTTTTAGTGATAAATATATGCCTCAGTAAGTTTTTTTATTAGTAAAATCAAAATTCATATGTCCCAAACTGAGCTTATCCGCACTGTTAATCCATGGAAAAAATCGATTATAATTGTGTTTCATTGTTTGTTTCTAAAAAAGCGAAAAACAATCTTTTATTTATTAAGGGAATAAAATCTACCATAAAACGATTATAATCCAATATATTCAGTTTTTTCTATTTAATGGGTGAGCGTGCAAAATCCAGGTCGCAAAAATTCGTTTACACGACTTGGACACTTAGGTTTGACTCAATTCATTTTTTCAGCACGACCTAATTTTTGGTTATGTAATTTTTTTAATCTATTTTTTCAAGGATCGGTTTTCCAGATTGATAAAGTGTGTGTGTGTGTGTGTGTGTGTGTGTGCGTGTGTGGCAGGATTAACGTATAGAGGAGTGGGTATGTTGAAAATGTAAAAAAAAAACTTAGAATGGGTTTTACAAACTTTGGATGATGCTAAAAACTGATATTCCGTTTTGGTTGATATAAAGTCGAAAAAAATCATTTTAATTTTTTAGAAAACAAAAGATAACAATAGATTTGTAACCCATTTTCGTGACTAAGGTAAATTTTATTGACAAAAATTTAAACCAAAAAAAAATTATAATATTATTGTTCCAATTTCCAGGGCTCTTTTTCTTTTTCGTTTCCACCTGCGAAACTCTTTTGCTAATTTTTTGTTCAAATTTTCCGATTGTTACGATAATCGGAAGCGGACTTATTAGGCCAAGAAAAACATTATGGTCTTTATATTTGACCTTGTAATGCCCACTGTAACACCATTTATATGATGCTTATATGAGGTGGGAGGATGGGGAAAGGTCCGTTTCAAGTTTTTAAGTTAATAGTTGAAGTTAATAAAAATAAGAACAGTGTAGTTTTTTTCTTCGTGGTTTGATAAATAGATCTGACCGGAAACTATAATATTGGAAATTCGAAAGTCATAGTAAAATAGGCCAACTGGACAAATTTTTTGCAGAACTTTTCTGAAGTTTTTGGCTCCCAAAATGGAGCTATAACTCTAAAAACTATTTTCCCTGATTAAAACTAAGTTTTTAAGCCTTAAATGAGACATAATTAAGGTGATGTAAGCCTGCTCGCTCGCTTAATTCGCTTGAAACAGGACGAAAAATCCAAAATTTCAAACCGGTTTTTCTTGACACTAAGAAAACTTTTTGGAATCACGATTGAAAGGACTACAATATGATATATCACTCCACCCAGTCCGATTATTATTTGTGGAACCTGATTTTGCATGGAAAAAAAATTTAAAAAAACTACCAAAAAAATAACAACAACCTGTTATCCTTGTTTCTCTATATTGTCATTTTTGGGCGAAAAAATTGAACTAGATGTTTTGCTTAAAAAGCTTTGAATCAATTTATCCACCATCAAAACGACTCAGACTCGACTAGGACAAAGGCTTTCTTATGGCACGGAGTTTTGAGTGACAACTTTACACAAGGAGTCAGAAATTTTCCTTCTTTTGCTTAGTGAAGGAACAAAAACTTGAAACATTTTCAATTTAGTCTATTTACTCACCTCAAATGATATTGATTAGCATTAGGGATAAACAATATAAAGCAAAAATTATGAACTGTTTCTAATGTGTAACACAAATGACTATTTGAAGAGGCTTCAAGGTGATATGTCTTTCAATTTTGACGGTCCTAATTGGTGGTTGAGTTTGCAGGTTGCAAAATCAACCGTGCTGCTGAGAAAGTTATAATTACTGAGAAAAATTTTAAAGAAACGTTTTTCTAACCAATGAGGTAGAGTCTAACTATTCATACAGTCATCATTCGTTACCTTAAGACACTTCTGCGGGAAACAACATCATAATATTGATAGCACCAAGTTTTGCGTAGACTATTAACCTGGTAAGTGATTTTAGAATTACCTGGTAAATACGAATTTTTGCAATAAACCAGATTCATAAAAAAGAAATTAACTCACTTTATTCATAATCTACACATAGAAGCTTTTTTTTCGTTTTGCCCGGTTAGCCTTGAGACCGGGCTGACCTCCATAGACCAAAAATGCTTATCATACAATTCCATAAACTAAGTCTATGAAAAAATACTAGTCATACAAACTTCATACATTTTGCTAAAATTGAGTCATCGAATTTGTGTAAGACAATCGAATTTTCCTAAGAATTAAAATTGCAAGACGGTCAAACATGTGACGATTCTACTTTTGAGTAACCAAGGTCTTTGTCATGTGTGTTCGCTTACGAACACTAACCAAAATTTTTGAGAGATTAAACTTAAAAAATTCAAATTTTTTGGTTTATGGAAAAATGCTTGTCATAAAATTTCCATATATGAAAAATTACTAATCATAGACCTTTCATGCATTTTTCTGTATTTATAGAGTTGCATGAAAAGTGTATGATTAGCATTTTTCTATATATGAAAATTGTTTGACTAGCACTTTTGGTCAACCTGGGACGCCAACAATCGCTGAATCAAAAGAATTATTAATAAAAATAATTCTGAAAAGCTGAATCGATGATGAAAGATTAAAAAAGCACGTATTGCCGTACAACTCAGAAATATTCCGTTTCCATTTAAGGCTCTTCAAAGCATTTTGTGAATTAGGCTAGAACAGAATAAATGAAAAACATAAGCTTGCACCCAATTCAGTTAAGATTTACTCGCTGCTTATGTGCGCCACAAACACAATTTGCAAACGGAAAGCGAAGCTAAACTGATATAAGAAAAAAGATAAAAACAACTTTGTTTAAACGAAAAGACAAAGTCATTTGATAAAATCGTTAAAAACCGCAAGAGATACAGTGCTGACTCAAATTGACCGGAAGAAACGAAAAAAATTTTGAAATTTCAAACCCGTTTTTCTCAAGTTGGTCAAGATTAGACAAAAAATGAGGAGAACAAAAGTTGCTTAGAATTTCACCAGAACTGATGAGGTGCAATTTTTTCTCCGAAAATCTAAACCAACATTTTACCCCAAAAAGGGGTTTTTATGTCTGTTTTTACTTAATCATGAATTACGCTGGAAACATTTTGTGAATTGATTCTGCTCTTACACAGCCCAACAAAATTCTAGAGGAATTGAAGCTCCAAAAAATTGAGCAATTTACTGAAATTTATTTTTAAGCAAAAATTTTGGGTTTTACACAGCAAACAACTGTAAAAATAAGTCAAGGCTCAGCTGCTTCAATAGAAAATTGTGACAAAACTTTTATCTGGCTACTTACAAGCTTGGTTTTTATAAGCTTGATTTTACATTAGATGGCAATAGTTTTTTGATCAATCTGAAGTAAGTTATAGAGCTGAACTAGAAAAAAATTGAGCTTGCAATTTTTGCCAAGGAATTCTGAAAAATCTAAATTTAAAAACTTTATTCTTTATCCTTAAAAAACAGTAGAAATTTATTGCATAGAAATTTACAGAAAATTTGAACTTTTAATTGTATTTCAGCACATCGCAAATATTTTTCTGAACCAAAGTTTGAAGACTTTCATCAGGCATTCATATTGTTTTTAGTAGGAATTGCTATGAGAGACTTTGAAAGAAAGCTAAGAGCAAAATGACACAAATCGCATTATCTAATAATAAAAAAATCAATTTCTGAAAAAGATAGATAGCTCTTTGAAAAACTTGTTTGATTTAAAAACTTGGTTGTAGAAACTTCATGCGTCCTCACCAAAAAGTTCTACAACTCACAAAATCAAGTTTTGATCAGTTACACAAACGGTACTGAAAGGTGTTATCCTGCAAGTTTTAATACCAGATATCAAAATAATAAAAGTTCGAAACGAAGTTTTCAGACTTATTTTTCTCACCATTAAAAGAATCTTGTAAAATTTCTTGAAACAAAAAAATGAAAAAAAAAACATTTGATAGAATGTTAACTGAAACTTAAAGTTCTACAAGCTTACTTCAGATTTTGTCGAACTCAACAGCGGGTGGAAAAAATAAATTCTACAGTTTAAAATCAGCCAATTGAACACATTAGATTTTATTACCTAGTCGTTTAGCAACTAAACAAATTAAATCCACAACAATTTGACTCCTATTTTAAAACTTAACAGCTAAATGGATGCTGTGTGAACTCATTTTTTTAAACTCCTATCACGCCAAAGTTAATCTTTCAATTAACGCTTGCACCGAATGAAAAAACTTGCTTTATCTCATTTATACATGCTAAAACGAGGCTGAACAATTTACTTAAGATTTTTATCGACCAGTTCGTAATTTGTTTTTAAAAAAAGCTACAATCAATTATTGCAGGTTTTATTTTATAAATTTATAGAAAACTAAATTGAAGGCCTGAACAAATTTTGTTTAATTTTGGGCAAATTCCAACGGAAACCACCCTAACATGTGAAAAGGAGTGAGCAGGCTGCAAAAAGACGCCTCCGTACAAGAATTAAACTTTTCAATGCAACGAGTGGCTATTAATTCACAAAGAAGAGAATGTACCGCGTATTAAATGTGAGAGTCGAAAACAGTATGTCTGCTTACGAATGCAGAGCTGATCTGTGTTTTCTCGAAGCATTATCTAGCTCGCGCTCAACCAATGTAAATTTTGGATTATTTTTGTTCGATTCATTCGATTTGTAAAATTCAAACTTGAAATCGACTTAAATTTTGTTGAGCTTTTTTTGAAAACACGTTTCCTTGCAGACTTCCGGAAAACGTACTAAAGCAAAAACTTGACCCGTGTACTGACATTTCGATCCCAGGACAGTCGCCCCATTTTTTGGGTTGCTAGATTGGGACTAGGGGCTGGGAAACCTCTTGGTTTTGCGTTTATTTGCCAACAATTCAAAGAAAGCTGAACAAAGCGATAGTGTTTTAAGCTTAAGCTCGCCAATGACCCTAAATGAGTTTTAGCTTTTTATCATTAGTGGAACCTTTTTAAAATTTCTGTACCGGCTGAAAACGTCTGGAAAAATACGCTATTTTTAGTCATAAATTGCTTAATTAATTGTGAGTTTTTGTAGTTCGTTGCAAGATAGCTTGTTTTCGGTTCGAACCGTTTTAACAATCCAAACAATTGGCAATGACGTTTCTGTTCAAAACAGACGCGAATTAAGTAGCGCGATATTTTCTGGCTGTCATGTCCAAAATTTCCCTGCTTTATTCTTTGATGTTTACCGAAGTCCCCTTTTAGGTAAGTTCTATTTTCATTTCGGATTAAAACGGTGTAAAGTAATAAAAAAATTTTCAAAACTTGGAGTAGGTGTTTTCAAAATGCTAAGGCGACAAAAAGTAGGGAGTGAAATTGTATGGTGTTAGGTTTCGAGTTGTTTCGATTTAATAAGGTGGGAGCCGGAAAAAACAAGCACAGCAGAGCTGAACCATTCAGGCACCAAGCAGAGATTCGCATCAGTTGCGATACAAGAATAATTACTTATTAAACCTTGTTCCTCTATACATTTACAGACTTCTGAACCAAAATATCTTGTGGCAATTATAAAAACACCGCTGTTGAAACTCACACAGTCCCCAAAAATTAAGCTGTCAACGATATTCTGAAAAAATTCTCCTGCGTGAAGAAAACACGAGACGTTTGTCGTATCAATAGTGTGCTTTTGCAATCCGCCAAATTGTCAAACTGAGTAATTGTAACTTGCTAGGCTAATGAAGTAAAATGATGAGCTCTTTGATCAAAGGATGCCAAATAAAAACTGATAAAACCTCTCGCCTTTGCAAGCTGTTAATGTAAGTTGCGGCTGATTGGTAGGTTAATCTCATTTTTAGGTGGTAAGCCCTCTGGCTCGTTGGCTTTCCACCGAAAAAAAAACGTTTCCAAATTATTCGAAACTACAAAATCCGAATTCTTCTTTATTTTCGACATTCGAAAAGATTTTTTGTTATTTTACAAGCTTAATCACGATTGAAACAGGTCTAACACGTCAAATATGACCCGGTAGGTCACTTAAATATCACGCATTTGAGGTCAACGAAAGAAGTCAAGTCCAAGAAAAACAGTAGCCGCGGAAAGAAAATTGTGAGCGCTTTTTTGTAGGAATTTTATTTACTAAACTAGTTCGATCAATGAAAAGCGAACAATCTCATTCAAGTAAGATTTGGACGATTAGATGAACTGCGTGCTTGAAGAAATGATTTGTGTCTTTCAAACTTCTTACCTCTGAGGAGGCTTGTGCGGGTCCATCAATTCTCCCGAGGGGTCCAACCCATAGTTCATCCCCTTCGAAAAATCCTCTGCGAAGCTCGAAATTGCACTATTTGCCTTCTCAAACATCTTTCCAAAATTTGCCGCTGTTTCTTCCCCTCGTTTCAGCAAAAGTTGTGCGTTGATATTTTCCATCTCAGAGTTCACAGTTGATTTGTTTTGTTGGTTTATATTCAAATTTTGACTATATTGCGAACGCAAATCCAAGTTTTGAGAGCTCTTATGTTGGTTTCGGTTACTAGGTAGCAGTTTGTTCTGAGGTTCGTCGACGTACGGAAACGACTGTTCTTTTTCATAGCTGTCAAACTGATCGTCAGAAATATCCGAAATTGCTATTGGCGCTACTACCTGTTGGTAAGGTAAGTTAGCATAATAACTTTCTTCTTCGATCTGTTTCTGCGATGGGTTGTCGGCCTCGTTTCCTCCAGTCTGATTGGACGAGATTTTCGAATGCTGATTTGGATTCCAAGGTTGAGACGTTACGCGTGGTGGGGGTTGTTCATATATGTTTTCAAATTTTGTTCGATTTTCATTAGAATTTTGTCCGTAATTTTTTCCAAAGTTTCCAGAGTTTGAGGATAATTTTGAATCTGTGTAACCCAAATCATAGTTTCCATAACCTTGCGAAGAGAAATTCAAGTTACTTGACACATTGTTTGTATTTTCAGTTGAAGAGTTGGCATGATTAACAGATGTCTCCGTGGCGAATTTATCGGATGTCGCACTTTTTTGAAGATCAACCTTATAGCCGTTTGAATTTGATGAATGCGAGCTTACATCAGTATTGGAATAAAAACTGTTGTTTGAAGTAACAATTCCACTACTGTTATAACTTGATTGTCCAGGTATATTTATGTTATCGAAGTTAACACCGGACAAAATAGTATTCTGATAAATCTGGTTGCTAGCGCTTCCAACATTTTTTGCACTATTAACATCATAAAATGAAATATGATCTATTTTCCCGCTACTTTCACTAGTGTTGTTAAAGTTTTCTCCAGCACTTGTAGCGTAAACTTTGTTTGTATTGTAATTTTGCTCTGAAAAATTACTGTTGGTGCCTTCAGCTTTAAAAAGTCCAGCTGAAGTGTTGTAAGTTGAAAATGAACCATCGGCGCTGTTGTTATTGCTGTTGATTATTCGTTGGGGAAAATTGCCATTATTTTGCTGTTGGTAAAGAGAATATGAGTGGTTATTTGCAAGGTCAGATTTGTTGGCGCTATTCGTATATTGGTAATGTGAAGAAAATATAACGTCAGCTGAACTATTCCTTTGTTCACGGTCCAAACTTTGTTGATTTTCCTTTTTCTGCAACCCTTTGTTTAAACTATTGTTCTGAGGAGCACTAAAATTTCCCAAAGCTGAAGTGTCGCTGGTAGAAAAATCACTGCCGCTGAGATGACGATTTTCTCCAAAACTCTTCTGTCCGTGATAAAAATCGGCACTGGATGAAGAAATAGAATCAAGTCCACTATTTCCAATGTTACGCTTCGATGGTTCAGTGTCCGCTCTAATATTCACTTGCGAACTGTTCTCATACGGCGATAATGCAATATTATTGTAATCAACGGTGGTACTACCTTTAACTCCGCTTCCTACAAAATCAGATGAGGATGTATTTATCCCACCACTGGAAAAACTATCTCTTTCACCAGCAATACTGGATACAGTTTTGCTTTTATCCAGCTGATTTATAGCAGGTTGCACCGATGTATATCCGGACAGTTGTACGTCTTGCAAATCCCTAGATCCAAAATTAGTTGTTTTTCCTTTTTCTGCAAACGTATCTCTACTATCGTCATCAGGAAAACTTGGCAAAGTATGTCTAATTTGAGAATCTTTTTTGTTTGTAAGTTGTTCTTTTTTCACTCCGTCACGATTAAGTTCACCGCCAGATTTTTGCGTTTCATGCCTGTTTTGATTCATAATTGATGAAGTGCCAGTGAAATGATCAACTGTTACGTCATCATTACGTGAACGCAATTCATTACTTCCACTGTGAACATTTCCGCTAGATTTTGATTCAGCAACTTCAGGAGTTAGTTCAACAATTTCATCTTCATCTGCGCGTGCCATAACTGACATTATCATTTCAAGTTCAGCTGCTGAAAGGCCCGCGACATCAGCTTCCGTCAAACCGGGAGGAAGTGCCCTCTTTTTGGGGTTCTCTGGATTTTTTTCAGAAGTTTTTTGCTCTCCTGGCATTGTTTTTTCTGTACCCACATTTCTACTAGGAGTGGAACATTTCGACTCAAAGTCATTTCGTTGCAAAGGCATTGAGTTCTCGCCGTTTCGGCTCTCTGGGAAATTTTTGTTGTATGTCACTTGATACTGTCGACCTCTTGCCGCTTCTTCAACTGAATAATCCGATTCCATATCTTCATCCGAGAAGTAAATGTCTACATCTCCATACTTGTTTCTTCGCATCTCTTGCTCATGATACTGTTGCACCATTCTTGACCGCTCATCGCCGGGAGCTGAGCTCTGGTAGGTATCGCCTGACCTTTGCTGGCCCTGATGCTGACTTCTTGAACTTAAATCACGATATTCGGTTCGCTCGTTTCCGAGATACTGGTAGTCATCCCGATTTTCAGATCCTGGGTGATCCTTATTTCGATTGCTGCTGGGATTTGAGAAAGGGTCATCATAGGGATCCTTGTCATACCGTGAATCATATTGTTTGTCGTAGCTTCTTGAGTCCGAACGTTTATCACAGTTTTTCCCATTACGTCGGGTTCGTTCTTCATCTTTTCGAAATCTGTCATCGCCATCACCTCGTTGATATCTATCATGAGCCCCTCGCCGCCGATAATCATCATCAGCATCATCTCTGCGCCTACGATTCTGTTGCTCCCAATAGTATCTTTCCTCTTCTTCGCGACGATTTCGCTCATCATCTTCGCGACGCAGACGTTCTTCCTCCTCGCGACGCCGACGCTCCTCCTCCTCTTCCTGAAAACGTAGACGTTCCACCTCCTGGCGACGCAGACGTTCCTCCTCCTCGCGACGCAAGCGTTCTTTCTCTTCGCGACGCAGACGCTCTTTCTCCTCGCGACGCAGACGCTCCTCTTCCTCGCGACGCAGACGCTCCTCCTCCTCGCGACGCAGACGCTCCTCCTCCTCGCGGCGCACACGCTCCTCTTCCTCGCGGCGCACACGCTCCTCCTCCTCGCGACGCAGACGCTCCTCCTCTTCGCGACGCAGACGCTCCTCCTCCTCGCGACGCAGACGCTCCTCCTCCTCGCGACGCAGACGCTCCTCCTCCTCGCGACGCAGGCGTTCCTCTTCCTCGCGACGCAGACGCTCCTCCTCCTCACGACGCAGACGTTCCTCTTCCTCGCGACGCAGACGTTCCTCCTCCTCGCGACGCAGTCGTTCCTCCTCCTCGCGACGCAGACGTTCCTCCTCCTCGCGCCGCAGACGTTCCTCTTCCTCGCGACGCAGACGTTCCTCCTCTTCGCGACGCAGACGTTCCTCCTCCTCGCGGCGCAGACGCTCCTCCTCCTCGCGACGCCAACGTTCTTCTTCTTCAATTCTTTCCTGCTCAAGTCGTTTTCTCTCAGATTCAATTCGCTCCTGCATTTGTTTTCGTCGCTTCTGCTCGGCAATTCGTTTTTCCTCCTCGGCTTTCTGACGTTCTTCTTCCATTCGAATTTCTTCTTCCAACATCCGCTGCTCTTCAAGAAGTCGCCTCTCGTTATCCAGACGACGCTGCTCGGCAAGTTGTTGCTCCTGGCTCATGACTCTCTGAATAGGTGGTGCCTTGAGAACATCAACAGATTCCATCTTTTTCAAGGAAACATGATTATCTTTTTTAGTTTGACTACAGTCATCATGCAGACTTTGATCACCAGCAGATCCGAAAAACTTGGACACTTGGTTTGAAACTTCGGCTAGAGATTTCTCGACTTCGGGGTTCCGAGATGTCGAATCAACTCGTGAGTTATTCCCACGAGTCGGCGATGAAGCACGTGAGGTTTCCCTTGATGGGTTCTTAGAACCAGTACTGTTAGGGTTTTCTGATTCCATCATGACGCTTAAAATTTGTTCAACCTCAGTTTTAGACAACCCATTCACTGCAGTCTCGTCTAAACCCATGGTTGATAACTTCGACTTTTCAGATTTTGTCAAAGAATCCCAGACGCTTTTCGCAGGCGCCGCATGTTTGGGTTCGGTTGTCACTGGAATCACTGGGTTCAGAGATTGGACTTTTTGAACGTTTTCCATTCCAGTCGAAATCAGATTGTTCATTTTCCCTTGCAACACAGCAGTTGGATTGTCAATTCCAGTAATAGACTTTGATAATTCATTTGTCTTTTTGAAAAGATTTGAACTGTCAAAAGAAAGGGTCGATTTGTCTTCGATTTTTGATGTCTTGGCTGGGGTTACATTGGGAAGCTGCTTTTCGCCCATGCCACCTCGTAGACCGCTTTTGTTACTTACAGTTCCTGAGGATCCCTTAATGCTACTGTTAGCTTGAGGACCTAAAGCGGCAGCTGTTTTTTGGGCACTTTTCTGTTTCTGCAGATCCTGTTTTGGAGGTTCTTTAGCTTCAACTGACTGATTATTAACCGATGCAATTTTCGCAATCTCTTTTGGACTCAAATGCATCAAATCAGACTGAGCTAACCCCGGAATATCGACAATTTGAGACAACAACATTGATTCAATGCAGGGACCTGCACTTAAGTCAATTCCTCCCTTTTCTTGGTGCTTCATTTCAGCGTGAACAGCCGCAATTTGAACCAATTCGAACTTCGAAAGGCCTTCCAATTCTTTCGCGTTAAGGCCTAAATGGTCGATTAAAAGCTTTTCTTGCGTATTCCATGGACCATTGTCAGCCTGCTGTTCTGCGCTCATCGGCTCGTTTCTCGGTCCCGTTGCTGGAGACGGATCCCGCGATGTTGTTCGCGACGACGAAACACTTGCATATGGTCGACGAGAAGCTCCACCGGCGTTTGTGTTAGCTCGGTTTCCCGGTTCCTGGCTTCTTCCACGACCGGCTGAGGGTAAGTTTTGGTTGGTTAAAACATTATTCGGGTTCCGGGGTACATGACCCGGTGACGAGTTCCTGGAAACATTGGCGCTTGCGGGACGTTGCTGCTTTCCGGCAGCTCGAGGCAAAGTTTGTGGATTTTGTGCGGGTATTGTTTCGTCAATAGCAATGTTTTCACTCACAAAATCAGAGATGCTCTTTGTAAAAGAACTGAACATTGTGCTTCAAATGTTCGAGCCTTATTTGAAAACAAAATTAAAACATTTTTTGAAGATTTACGCTGAAATTTAACAATTCATTGATGTAAGGTTACTGTAACTGCTTTAATATTCAATTTAAACAAAAATAAGTCTAGCAGGTCTGTTAGTAAATTGGGTCAATTTGGGTCCATTTTTATATTCAGCCGACCAAAAAGCTATCACATAAGACTTCCGTTTTTACGGTCCCGCAGACGAGAATTGTTATTCATGTAATAAAAGAACGGCTGAAAACAAATTTAGACGGCAGCATTAACTGCATATGGGGTCAATTTTGGCCATCAAATTTGAATAGATAAGAAGAAAAGTACACCGATATCTTGAGCTTCCGTGTGCGTTGTTAGGAAGCGTAATTAATCAATTCTTTCCCCGTGAATCGGGCCCTGATTCAAATAAGGGGAAATTTGTTCAACTCGTACACACAACGGATGATTTAACCAGAAAATATATATCTACCACGTAAAATAATGGTACGATGTATGAAAGAAAAAAATAGAATTTAGACTAGCGATGCTCGGTTATAACCAGAATTAAGCGTATGGTTAGACGGAATCTACGTATTTATGCATAGAGGTAGAAAGGTATATGTACCTGGCTAAAAATATGAAATAAGAGCAATATGTTAAGAGCAACAAGAGAAAAGTGAATGCATATTCAACGTGTAACGTTCGCTTATAGCCTCAAGCAGAGCAGGAAAAAAATGGTTGCGTTCCTGAATTTGTTTAAGGGAAAAAAGCGAAAGAATTTGTTCAATGGTGCAGCAAAAAATTGTGTTTTGTTTAGAGCGTAGATGAAAATTTCTCAACGATACCTTTCAAACATACAGAGCAATCAAGAGAAAACAGAAATGAGTTTGCATGACTCAGTAAAACTATCATGAAACTTATTTATCTGTGGCTACTTGATTGATTTTTAAAAATTAATGAGAATTTTGACAAAGAAAACTTGGTTATATCATTCTCCTGATAAATCGGCTAAGTGCACTACATTTTCAAATGCTACCATTTTGAAGGTAAATATCAAAGGTAGCAGCAAAAATCACGCACGTATTCATTGAAGTCACTGAACAAAAAAATCAAAGCACGGCAAATCACGGCAGTAAAGTGATTTTCAAAAACAAAGAGTTCTTCAAAGTATAAACTAACAAAAATGACTCACCCGGGTTCACCTCCATAGACCAAAAATACTAATCATACAATTCCATAAACTAAGTCTATGAAAAAATACGAATCATACAAATTTCATACATTTTGCTAAGATAGTGTCATTGAATTTTCGAAAAATTTTTCTCTTGTTTTGGCATAAAATTCGTTGTATCGTAGTAAATAAAAAAGAAAAACTTTTTGTCAAAAAAATGCTAATCATACAATTTCCATATATGGAAAATGTATGACTAGCATTTTTTTGATGGCGACGACAAAAATTTTTCAAAGTATTTTCGAACTTGCCCCCAAAAACCTTTTTGTGTTTTTTTCAACCGCAATTTGATTTTCGTACTCCAACAAACATTTTTTGAAAAAAAAATTTTGCATCCAAAAATTAATTTTTTTGTCTGTATAACGTAGTCCTGGATATACTTATATTGGATTTTTTTTCCTTTTCTATTCATAACTTTTTTCAAACAGAATTAAAACATTTCAGGCTGTTTCCAATGCACTTTTAATGCGAGACGGCCAAACCTTTGGTTACTACATTTGAGCAACCAATGTTTATGTAATTTGTGTTCGGTTACGAACACAACCAAAAAAAATTTGAGAAATTAAAAAGTAAAAAATCAATATTTTTGGTTTATGGAAAAAAGCTAGTCATACAATTTCCATATATGAAAAAATACTAATCATAGACCTTTCATGCAATTTTCTGTACTTATGGAATTGCATAAAAAGTGTATGACTAGCATTTTTCCATATATAAAAATTGTATGACTAGCATTTTTGGTCAACCCGGGCAGTTATCAGACTGACTATGCTACAAAATTTGAATTAAAAAAAAACTAATCCAGAGTCCCAATAAACTGAAAACAAATCGGATCGACCACTTAAAGTGGGAAAAAACTTTGTATCCGGTAGTGTTTTAATTTATTCCGCGCAAAACAAATCCACAAATAAACATGGAAATAGATTGAGTAATTTATGAAAAACGAACCCATTTAGTCGCGAGTTGCTCAACTTTTAGATTATTTAGTTTAAAAATTTGCTTTTTTTTTAAAATTTTGGAAGCAACCGAAGCAATAGCTCAAACAAAACTGAATAAAGCTTTAAGTAATTTAGATTTTAGCTGCAGATAAATAACTTTTTACACAGAGGCGAATTGCACTTCGCATACACAAGCAAAAATATGACCGATAACGCTACTGGGAAAAACTGAATGAATAAAACTTTGAGTCTACAAAACTTCTTAAGCGACGCACGCCAATTATGAGTCTACATAATTGCTAAGTGACGCAAGCTAATTACGACGCATTGGCAGTACCAGTTAATTTGAAAAAAAACGAACTGTAAGATGCCTCAATTTATAGAGCTGACGCATTTTAACTAGTATACGAAAAAGTTCATTAAAAACATCCAACCCTGCCCAGGTTTGAACCCTCTTAATTTGCTGCGGATCTCCTTTTCTACCTCTACACTACATATCCATGATACCTTGAAGCTAAAGTGCTATTTGTAATATAATAGTCTGTGTTAATATCCTTAGCATTGGCTGTACTTAATAGCTGATTATTGATCAAAATGAACACTTTTAAAATGAAAACATTTTGTCGCAACAATATTTGCGGCGCAACAATATTTGCGACTTAGGTTGGAAAAAACAGAGTTCTTACTATCACACAAGCTTTGCTTGTGTAAGTAGAACATTGATTTACCAAGGCAGGGCAGCGGCCACTGAAAACATTTTAGTGCACTCAAATAGACTTGAAAAATTATGACATCATTCAAACATAACTAAAAGTTCATTCAAAAACTAACTTACTAAACATTATTTCTTTTTGTTCGTTGACGATTGAAAAGTTTTGCATAAAACTAACTTAAGAAAACTGGATTAAGAACAATCGACTTTTATTCTGCTTGAAAAACTTTTGAGAATCTAATTTTCAGTCAAATACGTTTTTTCATGCAATTCGTAATTCTTTATTGGAGCGCGTAGATTGATTTCCATTTGCTGAAGAAAATAGAACACGAATTTTTCAAAATCATCTACCGCTAAAACAAATGTTTTTTTTTCGGAACCTTGGAACTTACAAAAAACAACATATTACGTTCAAGTTCTCTAAAATTCAAAATCACTTCATGAAGTAGGCCAAACAGAAAAAACTGGACACATAGGTATTTCATGATGCCACTAAAACACAAATTCAAATCCACTTTCGAACCTTCATTCAATCTTTCGCGCCTTTTGCAGTTTCATATTTGGAAAGCTTAATTGCCCTTCTTTTTTGCCAATGAGCTTCAGTTGATTTTCAAATTCAAACCGCCAAAGGCGAAATTAAAGTTTAAGACTCTTCGTGAAAAAAAACCACACCATATTCATATTGTCTTCAATACGTTTATTGACAATCAACAGCAAAAAAAAATTTGAAAAAATTAAACAAAAACTACACCTGATACCACTACCGCGTAGGCGTTATCTATCTCTATCAGCAATATCTCTGCTCACTTTTGGTTTATATTCACTCGTTCCTGGCAAATTGGTCAAAATTGGAAAATTATAGACAAAAAATTAGGCATTCATTAACTTTAGATCAATTGACAGCTACAATTTTAACAATCAAATGATATTTCCAGTTGTATCTTCATCGCAATTATCACTTGTTTTTGGTTGCAGCGGCATCAGTTAGATCATTACCCTGATAACAGTTCATACTGTTAAAACAATTAATACAAATGATCAAAAAATCTGCCAATAAGAAATTATTTCAATGTTATTCAGTGATCAAAAATTTAAGAAATAAAGGTGATCACAAAAAAAAAATTAAACAACAATCCATCTTTTGACACTCAAATGGTTCAAAAAAGTAAATATTGCAAATCACACTCAAGCGAAGTTTTCATTTATGAAAAAGAAAAGCCTATCCTTTACACACAGAGGCGAAGCTGCGCTTCCCAAACAAAAGCGAGGAAAATGCAAAGAAGATCTCTGAACAGGCAAAACAAAGTGAAATAAGGAAAAGGTTAAAAAGACACCTTGAGAAACTTTTTTGCGAGGATTAGGAGTAACACGTTTTCTTATCTGCTTCTTGACCGCTTTTTTTTTACTAACACTAACCACCAATAAAGCAGCTGCAGTTTTTATTAAATTGCCAATACGATGCAGGAAAAACTCGACCAAAAAAACTGTAACTATTTCAATGTTCCGGATTTGGATCTCCTACCTGTTGATTAGTATTTCCATTTCCTCGCAATCGCGCCACGGACGCTTGGAAGAAAAACAGGTTGCCCAGCTTATGCTAGATTCACATGCGTAATTTTGAAAGTTTCAAAAATGGACTTAACGCAAAACCCTGGTAATTTTTCTGCTTAAGAAGTGGATTAGCTGCATATTTAAAGAAAAAACTGCAAATTGATCTTTCAATTGAATTCTTTATCTCAGATTTGGCTGGGTAGTTTTTGAAAAAAAAATTGAAAAATACTCCAAAAAACGATCAAAAATTGAAAAAGTTTTCTTTTCCTAAATTCATGGACTTTTCCGATGTCAATATCGGCTTTTCTACAAAACAAATAAGTCAAAATAGATTCCACGGGAAAAATTTTGTTCCTGTACGATGTTACTTTGAATGAATTATCAACCTCAGAATCAGCAGGTTCGTTTTAGAAGAAAAAAAGAAGTTTCCAAAAACGGGCAAAGTTTCAAAAACTGTACATTTTCTAAGGCCATTTTTTTCAAACTTCAGGGCATAACCGCTTGCGCAGGGAAAAGTTGCATACCACGTTTTTTTCCCGGTTGAACTCTTATTCTCCGATTCGCCAGGGTAGTTTTTGACAAAAGTCAAAAAAATTTAAAAATTAACCAATATGTCAAAAAATGGGCTTGTTTGAGCCATAACTTTCTTTTTTCGAATTTAGGGATTAGCCACTTGAGAAAAAGAGACTCCAATAGTTAGTTTTTTAGTTTAAACGTTCATCTCAGATTTGATATTTGAGAAAATGAACAAATTCAAAATCAAATAAGTCAAAAATCTCCCTACTGAAACTTTCGCAAGCCGTAGAGCGTGGTGTAAACTGAAAAGAGACTAGCAAAAATGCAGGCAAATAGAATAGCAGCCAATTTTTTCAATGACCCCATTGTTTTGAAAATTGGTTCAATAGTTTTTGCAAAAAATTGAAATTTTTGCGAAAAGTTCAAAAAATTTTTAAAGGGTTGCAAAAAAAAATTAACAAATAATTTAGCCAACTAAGCAAAAAATCCAGAAACTAAATGGAGAAAAAAAAAGAAAACAAAGTTTTTGTTTCAAAACCACAATGGTTGCATAATTCCGTACTATTTGCGCAGCAATTGGCATTAATTGATATTTTTCAGGATTTTTTTGGCTCTCAGTTATTTTATTTTTGCTAAATAGTCAGCATTGTGACTGGAATATTTCATTGTTTCATTTAGATACAAA